GTGTAAATTTAATTTGGGTGTATGTTTCTTTGGTCTACTTCAGATTTTAACATAGCTAACCATGTATGACTTAAATTAAATGAACATGAAGCAACACAATTATTTTGATTTAGTAAAATTAGTGCTCTTTCTTTAATTTGACGTTTTTTTGTGGATTGTCCTTTTGTTAAAATTGTGGAATTATTCCATTGCATTTTATGGCAATTATCAAATGCATGTTGACAAATGTGTGATTTATGATATTCTCTGTTTTTATGTATGATTGGTGTTCTTTGGGTCTTTTGTGTAATGGTCTTGAGGTTTCTCCTATATAAAATTTATTGCAYTCGCAAGGAATCTTATAAATTACATTTTAATTTAATTATTTTTGAGGCGAAATACCCAAAAAGAACTTTGTAAGAAAAACAACTTCAACTTAGGGCTTGTCACACGTAACTGTTTTAACCACGTTTTAACAACTTCTTGGTCCKGATGAACCAAGATGAGTCACTGTCCTCATGCTGGAACGTAGCCGTTAATGCGAGTCTTGTCATTCACGATGGGGGTTGTCCCTCTGGTGGATTACAAGGGCCGGTTTATTATATTAACATCTCAACTAATAATAATTATGGCGTCGTTAGCAGCGAAACATTATTGTAAATAATAGGTTTCTCGTGCGCGTTCCGTTATTAAGTCTCGGTCTCTGAATGGCACTTGGCGCGCTCTCTTCTTATTAATCGCATTTTGTGTTTGTAATGATAATTGTTAGTCGCTTTCAGTCGGGCCATTCGATATGTTAACATGTCGATCCGACATGGGGGCACTTGTTTGCTAGGGAATTACACTTGATTCCTTCCATTGTTCATGTTTGCAATCAAGATTCAAGTGTGTTTGTGTTTCCAATGTTGGTTTTACCAACCCCATAGCCCACCACTATCTTGACGCAATTGTTTTAAGGCCCGTGGTCATAAATTTGGTACAGACGATCGGTCATTGAGTGGTCAAAAGCCGTTGGAAAATGCAAACAAATTTCCGCTCAATTCGCGTTTGGAGTAACGTGGCAATCGGAAAAGAGTGATTTGTTGAACCGCGCCCAAGCCCCCCCATAAGCGATTGGACATAAATCGTGGCAACCCTACAAACTGCATTAAGTAATATGTGATTTAATCAAGTTGCGTCGTTTGGATTGTTCGAGCGATTTATTCGACAGTCTTCGAGATGCCCCCACTCATATCTATATGGCCGTTTGTCTTGTGGAGCTATTGGGGGGAGTCTGAGGGTGGCCTTTATATTTCCCTCAATAATGCCAAAGTTGTAAACATGCAATTGACTGTTCTTAAGATAAAATCGGCACGAGCAATTTCGGATATTGGAATGGTAATCTGACAAATTCGAGCGATGATAAGGCCCCTAGTGCCCCTTCGATGCAATTGATGGGATTGGTCCCAGTATGGAACGGTTATGACGCAACGGAAAAATGAATTATTTATCATTCTATGTAGATCGGTCGATTTAATGGAGCAATCGCGACTTTGCAACATGATGGAAACGAAAAAATTGAATCCAGCAACATCTTATTTAGCGGACCAGCGTTAGGTCCGGGCTACCAGGCGGCCTTCTCTTACGCCAATGATTGACTTGATTAATCGAAACACATTTACTTGACGCAAAACAGCAAAACGCCATCGGCTAATGATCGCTATGAGTCTGCACAATGCAAATGAGTTGTTTCGTTTTGCATTTGAGACGCCATTTACATAAAAGTCTCCTCTCCATAGCGCTTTTCTGCTCATATTTCATCGTCGCATTAGAAGATCATCTTCAAGGGGAACTCTGAGTGATTTGTTTTGCGTGAAAATATACTGTATTGGAACTTGCAGCCCAAAAAGTAAAAACTTTACTCCTTTAAAGCTAATTGTAATTGACACGGTGACATTAATGTCGTGACAGCAGCGAGTGTCACACAACGTCACGTCACTGTGACATTCAACTGTTCACACAATGACACTGTTGGGGGCGACATAAATGTCGAGCGTTTACTCTCAACCACCCAGCATTCATATAAAGAATTTTTGTTCGCAGGACATTTTGGCGTCGTTGAGATGACGCCAAAAGTGACGGCGGTGGCGCCCTTGCCGGCGTCGGTCCTTCTGCAAAAACAACAAATTGTTTCAACTCGGGGGAGCCCGCCAAAAAAAGTTTGGCAACGTTTCGCCGGAATGGGGAGCGATGGTGTCATGCTTTTAGGAACTTGTTTACCTCGAAGTGGACGGAAAAATCATAAAAGGTTTGTGTTTTTTCTATTTCTCATAATTCTTTTGTGGTTTTAATGGAGGTTTTGGCTTGTCAAAATACCGTCGAGTTTCCGCCGCATCCCCCTTAGCGGCCGTGAAACGTTTCTTTGTTACAGTCATTTGTTTGGTAAACGATTTTTGATATGAAGAGCAAGCTGGGGTGCGCGAGTAGGAAAGGTTTGCTTCTTGAAGAAAAGTGGCCCTAAAATTGGGAAGCAACCACAGCTAAAGAAAGAAAAGAGAAACTGGACGAAGTGTTTTTGGAAGTAAAAAAACTGTGGAAGGAGTTGGCGCAGTGTTGCACATATGCCTTGGTGCGCCAACCCAATGCACCTGCTAGCATTGCGCCAACTCTTGAAAATTCACTGAGTAACCAGGCCTAGTTGATAGCGTGTTGTTTTCTTAGGCAGCTGGACGTAACTGCAATTAGGCCTGTTTCTTCTGCATCTATTGAGCAATAAAGAACATTTTTCTGCAACTTTGTCTTGTTTTTTACGCACCTTTTCGAGGGTTCTAGGACGAGTGGTTTTTAAAAGTCACTGTGTTTATTTGGTGGTTTAATGGCTTTTGATAGCAGTAAAACGTTGAAAACACTTTGTCCCAATTGTCAGTGACAGTTGGGCGCCCTCTATAGTGAATAAGTACAACTAATTATCGAAAGCAACGCCCTGAAGCGAATAAGTCGAACTAAAATCTACAAAAGCGCTCTCTGAAGTGAATAGGTCGAACTAAAATCGACAGCTGCGACCTCTGTAGTGAATACGTTGAACTCAAATTGACAACAGCGGGCTCTGTAATGAATATGTCAAACTAAAATTGACAGCAGCGCGCTTTATAGTGAATGTCTCGAAGTAAAATCTACTCTTATTAACAGAAAAAGTGCAATTTTCCATTTGCCAGAGTTTAAGCATTAGAAAAAGTGACAAATATTTCCAGTTGAACAGTGAAAAATGTACAGAAAGCTTGGCTTTATGTTTCTGTTGGAAAACATTGGCGCATCATTAGCGATTATTAGGTTTTCATGTCTGACAATTTGTAATGAATAATAAAAATGGATGCATTGCAATACCGCATTGTTTTGGTGTGGATCATGGAACGAAAACATCGAAGATTCCGGAATCTGGATCGACAAGGTCCAAAGGCTCGACTGGAAAATAAAGATAATGTTTTATTAGTCAAATACGGCGGTGCTCTGTGCCCAGTATTCTAATGTAATTACACAAACACGGACTACAAATCAAGGCTTATTCACTAAGATTTGCGTCTTTTGTCTGTCTGTCTTTTGTTTGATTTGCGTCTTTGCAAGGGTGAAAAATGGAGAATCAAAACTGGCAACAGTGACCAACAGGAAACAAATAATACTGGGACTTTTATAGTAGCAGTGAGAAGACGCTGAATAACGTAAAGTAAAAAGGGCGAATGGTGGATGAAAACACAAAAAGTAGATATCGAAACTTTATCTACTCAGAACAGAAGAAACTTGGTGTTTTCTTCGCAAAAAGGAGAATTTATCCAAAACTTCACCACAAGAGTTGAAGTGGGTTCACAAGCCATTTTGATCAAATAACTTGCCAAGTACAAATTGACCAACAAAATTATTTACCAGAATCTAGTGCTGATTGAGCATTTTGCCCACTTGCCATAGACTTGATCCATTAACAGCCTGAGGAACGATACCGATAACTAAATATTCCAGATTCTTTAATGTTTTTGGCTAAATTTCCTAAAGTCAATAACGCCCCATCTGAGGCAGGCTTTAGTTGATGAAAACGGCATTGAAATCAACAATAAATCCAAACAATCTCTTTTCAGTTTGAAGGTTGACTAGTCCCTAAATAATTCATAACGTTGTGATAAAGTCAGCCTTCAAACAGTTTCAGTTTTTCAAGCAATCAGCAGGAAGGAAATTGAACAGTCTCGATGTAGAATGTTGTGTAATCAAAACACTTAGCATGAAAAGTAATTCTTTTATAAGGCTGTCATCGCATATGAAACTTCCTTTGCCCTCAAACAGGAATTGCTTTTCCGGACTTTTTATGGAAAACTATCGTTGCCAAATTTTAGCGTTGGAGACTCCCGGGCCGCCTCTTTGGCGCCCGGGATTGGCGCCGTTCAGCTTCCGCAATTCGTGTATCTTCCAATAGCAAAATGTAGAGCGACATTCAGCTACAGAGACGATTCGGATCAGCGACAATTCCACTGGATCTCTCCCGGTCTGCCTCAATTCACCTCTCGAGATTATTATTATTTTTACATATCACGCGCGATGAGTCCTTTGATCAATGATAAGAATAAATTAATTGATAACAGGCTGCTTTTGAAGAGTATAGATTTCAATTGGTGAAAACAAAAGTGACATGATTTTTGTTGTAGAAAAATTAGGGCAATTCGCACATTCGATGCAACAGTGCAAAATTCATTGCCGTCTGCGACAACAACAACAACTGAAAAACGAAACAATTGAAAAACTAGGAAGAATTGATAGCATTCCGTCGCTTGCTCGCAATCTCTCGTTGGCTGATTCTCATGCGCCCAGTCGGCCAATGGGGCGCCGCTCTCCGAACAGATAATCTTCTAATCCGAATAGTTTCATTCGTCTTATTTATGGCATGTTTACGCTACTGTTTTGGCCCCCTTGCAAACTGACATTTGTCAAAATAACAAAGCGCCCGAAATGGAAAAAGTTATTTTGTTTTATGGCCGCCCCCGATATGTAGCCCAGGATTTTATGACTACGGCCAAGTTTGCCGCACGAGGGTTGCATTATGTGATGTTCGATGGATTTTATTGAGAAAAATCGTCTGATGCTAAAGATCGTATCGTTTAGCGGTTCCAAACCGCTTTTGAAGTTCTTGAATGGAATTTGGTGGGTTTTTGTTGAGTTGTCGGTTGCAGTGAACAGGCATTTTGGTAATGCGCACGTTTGTATGTTGGTAAAGAAACCAGCAAATTTCCGCTTGGAAAATTTGGCGAACAAAAGTGGACGCGTGATTGGTGTTCTGCCGAATGCGCCTGCTATATTCCACGCCTTCGCCAGTTCACTAACCAATAGTGTAACGGATGCGCATTCGGGCTCCTCCCTTTCTTATCTCGCCAATTCTTATTGGCCCCGCGCGTTTCATGAAAGAACGCGATGTGGAGAAACGGGCAAGTGCGACTGTTACATCACAGATGTCGCGGGTGTTTATAAAATGCCCATTAAATAGCCGAGGATTTCCCAGCTAATTCTGCTAAGAGGATGTCGCATATCGACGGATGGCAGATGAATGAATAAGTGGGATTTTACTAGCAATTTGCGTTCTTTAATTACCTAATCTAAACAAGTCTTAATTTATTGGGCTTGCAACACTTAACGGGTTCCCACTCTCGGGTACCCAAATTCTGGGCTTTCGCCGAGCGTGTCATGCGTCCTCTGGTCGTTCTTCAGTTCGCCAGGCAACCGCTAACCTTGATGCGTAAGAGCGACTGAAACCCAACAGAAAAATATGGTCGCTAAATCCTGTTTCAGCTGTTTAGAATGCGCCGATCTATTCATATTCAATTATCAGTGATAGCCGGTTGTAGGAAGTGAGTAAAAGAGAAAGTGCACAAGGCAAACCAGTAGCGAACCAGCAGCGACTAACCACAGAATTTTTGTTGCGAAATAAATGGGACACCCTCAGAATGGCGCTCATCCATGCCGCTTTAATAGCGTCGGCCCTCTTAGGCCTCTACCACCAAGTGCAAGCTGAATACATCCCTCCGGGGCCCCTCTACAGGTGCCCCAAGGAGAAGCTGCTGCTCCACCCCTGCAGTTGCGACGTGGAGTCCGACCAGGGGCTCTGGATCAGTTGCAACAACACCAACATTGCCAGCATGAGTTTGGCCCTCAACAATTTGGCCACCTTCGAGTTGCCCATCGAAACTCTGACTATCAAAAGTTGCCACATTGGTAAGCAAACGCTTGTTTTGATGGTAACGGTTTTGGGTCGCGCAAGTCGCACGGTCTAAATGTGCAATAGTATACCGGGAGTGAAATATTAAAGTGTAGGTACTTTTCCATAACGGCGGCAACGTTGCAYCTTCAGAAAGGGAGAACCATAGAGTACTTTTACTTTTTCTATGGGGAGAACCCTAAAGAAGTTTAGACCTMAACAGAGTTCAGCTTTGAAACTGCAAAACACGATYTGAAGCAGTCMAAAYTGAAAACRAAAAACSCGCCGTTGGAATCGRGWGCTGSGRATGAAAAATGCGAAATATTTGCCWGATGCTTTCCAAGACTCCAGTAATTGTGGTTAAAAATGACACAAAGAGCTGAAATCAGCCCTGAAATTACAKTAAACAATAATTTATGAAAAAAAGGAAAACATTGTTGGAATATAATCCGAAAGAAAAATGCACAAGAGTTGCAAATGCAAACAAACACAAGGCTTGATGCGGAGCGCAAAGCACACTTGAAGATGCAAGCGATTTGTGCTTGCGAAACGTCGGCTTGCGTCGAAAACGACTTTTTACGACTAAAAATCAATTATTTTGATTTTTCGATGCTCTAGTGGCAGCTTCGGATTATGCGTAAAATTTGCAAAAATGTCAAAATTTAGTTTTTGAATTCGAATTTTGGATATTCTGAACAACTTTTTTACAAGTTACTCTTGTTTCTAAGCTCTCAAGTTTCCACAGGTCCACTTAAAAATACTGACAATTTTAAGCTACATTTAGAAATGTGTTTTTCTGGCTTTGAAGCCGTGCTCCATGGCAATTTCTACCTGACGTTTCGTCCACAACTGCGGTGGACATTATCAAAGGCGAAAAATTATAGAATACATTTTATTGAATCACTTTGTGTGAATCACAATCGAAGCTTTGCAAAAATGTTTCTAGAACCTGTTGCGGCTTAGAATTTTGGACAAAACCAAAATAACTTTTTTTTGGATTTTTTTCTAAAACTATTTGCCTGAACAGAACAGGCGAAAGCTTATAATCAATTATTTGGAAAACTCGTCACCGTGGTCGCTGTGAATAATTTATTTTTTTTAAATTCCGGTTTCTCCACTTAGGTCAATATTTCTAAACAAAACGCTCTCTAAACAGAAAAATGCGTTTTTTCCGGACGCTTTACCGTAAAATATTGACAAACTGAGAGTGTTTTATGCAAAAAGGAGATCGATTTTCTTTATCTTCTTTATCGCCTTTTTCAAATACCCGTTTTCCAAATTTGAATTTGGGACAAAACCGAAACAAAATTATCTCGTTCCTTTATTCTAAAAATTAAAGTTTTCCCAAAAAACGACCAGGGAAACCAAAATCAGATCAACTATTTGGAAAACTCGTCACCCTCATCGCTCTAGAATTTTTTTAAGTTTCTTACTTTCCGGTTTTTCCCGTTTTAAACCAAATATTTTCAAGCAATCGTTTCTCTCGTTCAAAAGGTCAATCAGCCAATTGTTAAGAGTTAGCGCAGTGCTGCGCAAATGGCTTCGTGCGCCAACCCAACGCATCGGCACAGTAACTCAGTTGCGTTGCTGATAAACCGTTACGGTTTAGATGATAAAACTGTAGTCTCGGTGATCGGTAAATGAGTTACAATTCATTAATCGATGAGTTAATAATAAAAAGTTGCAAATGCAAACGAACACAAGGCTTGATGTGGCATGCAAATCACACCTGAAGATGCGAGCTATTCGCGCAGAAAGACGACACGTCAGAAAATAACTGTTTTTCACGACTAAAAACTTGATGATTTTGAAATTGATTTTGGAATTTGAATTTTGAACCTTTGAACAACTTTTTCTGCTAACTTTTCCCATATCTGAAGTAGGCTTTGATAACTCGCTGAATTTTTAGGAGTTGGCGCAGTGTAGCGCAAATGGCTTGGTGCGCCAACCCGGCACCGGCGCAGTAACTCAATTAGTTGACGGTAAAACGTAGATGTTAAAATTCCAGTCTCCGTCATCGGTAAATGAGCTAAAACTCATTAACTCAGAGAACGGCAACAAGCAATCCAAAGGCGCAACTCGACACAGTGTTACTCAGGCCTGATATGAAGATGTAGAGAGTAGTGATTCCAGAGAAGTAAAAATAAATCACAGTGATTAAAATTGTAAACTAAAAAGTCTGTATTAAAATTATGCTGTTCTCTGTATAAAATCGGGTTGTGAAGGTTTCCTGTGGGCAGGTTTGCTCAATGCAGAATTAAACACGGCTGACATCACCGGCATATTTTCACCTTGCAACGTCCGAGTCATTATTTTTCGCAGGAATTAATTAAAACGAAATTAATTTAAAAGTAAAATTAATCTTAAGCGAATGTATTTTAAGCAACTTCCAGGGGCATAAATTGAGAGATCCGTGGAGCGTCGTTTGCTGCGTGGGGCGGCGAAATATTAATGGATTTTAAATCTCAATTTGATTGGCTGCACATCGGAGCGTCATTTTCTAATTACCCTGTGTATTGGAAGTGCGCATTTTTTCGCCCGCATCGGTTGCATGTTGTGACAATGATTGCGCCATAATGGGCATCGTTCGAAAAGGCCCTGGAAAAGCCCCGGAAAGTTGCCTTAATGCAATAATAAAATCCGGTTTTAATGCGATTAATCTGGAATTTAATTAATTAATGAAAATCTCTTAATGTTTTCAGCGAGACTTTTCGGCAGCCTTTTGTACAAGCTGAAACTTCGGGTGCTCCGGATCGAGGAGACTCCGCTAGAGATAATTGATGAGTTCTCCTTTTTGGGAGTGAACAACACGCTGAACGAGCTGCACATCGTTAATTCCAGTCTATTGGAGCTGCCCCTGGCTGCTTTTAAGGTGCGAAGATTTTTGCTTTGGGAGGCGACTGTATGTGTGATGAATCACATAAGACAAAACACCGGGCCCCCGTCGCTCTTAAGGGAAAAATCGGGAGTGTTTCAATGGCTGCGCCAGCGAAATCTCTTCGCTGGCACTTATTGAAGTCATAATTCATACCACCTTTAAGGCCGAGCTCGGAAACGGCGCAATTTATTTGCGGTAATTCGTTTAAAAGCTACGTGGAACTACCGAAATTACTCCCACTGAACGGCTGAAGGGGTTAGATTTTCATCGGTTTATTTTTTCACACCATTTCCAAGCCAATGCGATTGCGATCTCGTTACTCAATACAACTATTTTCTCGGCGATAAAAGCCACGGAGCAAAACGACCTACTGGAACTGGAAAATCCTTATTACTGAATAATTTCCATTACCTACCAAATTCCGATAAAATTTTAATATCCTTACGTTCGAAGAGGGCAAATAAAAGGAAAAACATAAAACGGTTTATCGGGGGCGTAGTTTAAACGAACGGTGGCCGATATTGGAATCGGTTTATTTCAGGCGCAACCAAGGCGACTTTGTTTATTAGATAAATACGAGTTGCACCAAGAAAACGGCCAAAGGAAAACGGAAAAATAACTATTTCCTCTGTTGCTTTATACTGAAATCCATACAGGGTGGTTGAACATCAGTTATAGATACTTTTACGCATATTTTTCTCCATCACACTGCCATAAAGTGTTTCTTTTTATTTTCGGGCCGATAAACCGAGGCAAATAACGTTTCTTTGTCTAACGTGTGTATCCCGTCAAGTATTCAGTTATCGCTCTGCCACTTGATTCTTCGCTGAACGGATATGTTGCCATCAAGCAACTGAAAGGCCCTAGAATATAAAACGTCCATTTAAGACCCCATTACTGTGCCATTGGCAATAAGGCAGTTTAATTTTTTCGCCGTTATAGTCTTATCTGCGATGTAGGCCCACAATATGGGCCCATTAAGTTGAGGCGCTGCGCCCATTATTTTAACTGGCTCACATTTTGTTTACCAACCCTTATATGTGCGCCCTCATTTTCCTTAACATCGGCTTGGCAAAGTAGCGTGCTCTGAAATTCGCTTGAAAGCCGACGCCTTAATGAAAAATTAGTATCATACTTTTTCTTTTCTGGCTTTCAGTCAAAATGTGAAATAAAAATGTTCATATCGTTTATTTCATATAACGTTTCGGCGAGACAACAGCGCCATCGTCAGATTTAAAATTCAACACAAACCCATTATTGGGAAACATTAGATTCTTTGGCTAGAGCMTAAAAAKAATCTAATGTTTCCCAATAATGGGTTTGTGTTGAATTTTAAATCTGACGATGGCGYTGTTGTCTCGCCGAAATGTTAAATGAAATAAACGATATGAACATTTCTATTTCAYATTTTTTCCACATATAATAACAATTACACGCAGTCCGGAAAATAAATCAGAATGAAAAATTCCTGTGGCGTTCGCAAATGAAATTATCCAGGCCATCAATTTTTTGTTTGCCAATGGGCATCTTTTCTTGGGGAAATCTAAATCGTCTTTAGTCTGTTTTCCATTTTGGAAATGGGGATTTACCGGCTGTTTATTCAGCGAATCCTTCTTATTGGATAGTGCCAGCTAAGATTTAGGGCTTTCCCGTGTAAATATGGATATAAAGTGGATGTTTTCTCTGTGTGCAGTCTATTGTTAGGGACGATCTCTCTGAAAAGATTCCCCAGCGACGCTGTCGGGGATTTGTTTGTTTTATTTAACTGCCTCTACAGCGGATAGAGCTCAGTCCTCGCGACTTAGCAGCTTCGCATTGTTACGATGTCGGTGGTTTTGTACTCAGATACTGGGAAACATCACGGTGCTCAATATCGACGGGCACAACATAAGCGACCTGCCGAAGGAGGCGTTCTTCGAGAGCGAAATGAGCGGAAAACTGCTGAAACTGCACATTGTGAACGGCCATCTAAACACCCCGCCGATTGAGGCTTTGCAGCCGCTCAGGTAACGGGAGCGGCGAAGTTAACAAAACGCTGTTCACTCAACGTAATAAATTGCTATTCAGAAAATTGAAGACGCTAGACCTGCACGGCAATCGGATAAAAGAGCTGAAAAGGAACCAATTTAAAGGGCTGCGAGATGTCGAAATTCTGGATTTGAGCTTCAACATGATTCCGAAAATCGATTCGAGCCATTTGGCCGATTTGACGAAAATGTCGTGGCTTAACGTCTCTCATAATAGTCTGAAGGAACTTACCAGGTAAGTCGGAGAAATCATTTCTCTTGAACGCTGGCCAATTGATCTCGAAACCGGTTGCGCACTTATTAGTCCTCATCAGTGGTTTCACCACCTAGAAAGCTGAACTCAACTGATGAAGACTAATAAGTTGGTTCAGAAGTGTTTCAATTTAGCAAAAATAAATATTTGAAAGGACACTTTTCAATAGGGTGTTTTCATTGTATCTACAAACTGAACATTAATTTATGCTAAATTTTATTTTTATTTTTGTTAAATATTTAATAAACAAATTCAGCTAAAATTCAAATTATTCATAAATCTCTAAAACGCAATCCTATTGGATGTGACGTCTCTGGTCATATAAATGGCGGATTGTTTACGTTCTGTGCATAGTGTTTAGTTGTGTGGTTGGTTGTGTTTCCTTAATTATTTTGTGGATTCAAATAATTTATAGTTTGTGTTAAACTAAGAAATTGCTTCATAAACTTCCTTCAAGCGTCACCAAACAATTTACCATGTGTACATATTTTTATGGTTACCGAATTTAAAAAAAACGACGAACGCTTTAATTCAGCGGAATCTAAGGGTGTCAAAGCAGCAGCGTAAGTCAAAATACGTAAATTCGTTATTAGTTACTCCCTCCTTGCATAATTAATTTCTTAAAATTAAGTTGTATTTTTGAATAAGAATCTGAATGCATATTATTACGCATTTATGTTTTCAGGTTATAGCCCTCTTTAGTAGCTTTTGGTTCGTACTTATATTAAAATCATCCTCCCAACAAAAAAAACATTGATTTTGAATTAGGAACATCACGTCTAGCTGCTTGGAACTATAAAACTTTACGTGCATAATCATGAGGAACGGTTAAAAAGAGTTTGTTTGGAGCACTTATTGAGCTATTCGTGCATCCTGGCACAAAACACCCCTTATTTTCTGATTCATACTGTCACTCCTTTGTCACTATTTTCTATTATGCAAGATAATAATAATAATCAATAAAATAGTGATAATCACAATAACTTAAATAATAAAACAAAGCTACGAAAACACCAAAATAAACACGAGACACTTTGTTGATATGACCTGCTACGTCACAATGGGGATAGACAACCGACGATACGCACTCGGCGTTTTTGGCGGAAAATATCTGATTTGAATTTAAATTCGCTTTAAAATTATTATGGAGACTTTTTATGCAAAAAACTATATCAGTATAATTTTTGCCATAACTACTTTCTATACATCAACATTAAAAAAAAAAGTGAAAACACCCTATTGTATCGGCCCGATCGGCCGGCCCTTTGTCAGAGCCAAGTGGAAAACTTTGTTGGTACGGATTTGCCAGCAGGAAATTCGAGTTTGTCATTAATTAAAATTGCATGTATTTCCGCAAAGTGTACACGGCAAGTGAAATATTCTGGCTCTAGTGGGGTAAAATTGGACGTGCAATTAAAGCGCTCATTAGTGAAACCTGCACAATTCGACATTGTCGTTTTAGTTGCCTTCATTCGAATTGTGTTGGTTTATTAATGCGATTATTATGTATGCATTGGGCCGAATGAATTTGAATCGATCATTAATATGAGCGTCGCGGCGGATTATTTGATTTATCCACGCGTCTTTCGGTGGGTTTAGAGGAGCGTTTGCAAGAAACACGGTGCTGCGTGTGCTCAACATGTCGTTCAATCAAATAAAGAAGCTGGATTCGAACTCGTTTCGTGGAATGAGGTTTTTGCGACGACTGTTCCTGTCTGATAACCTAATTGGGGACGTCGGTCGCGGCACTTTCGGCTCATTGCAGCGCATCGGAACTATAGATCTGGCCAGGAATTTGATCAAGAAAGTCGACTACCAGATGTTCTTCCAGCTGAACTTTATTGAGGTACGCGCCATTTTCCGCCCGAAACTCTGATTGTCGACGCGACATTTTTCTTGCAGCTGCTCGATTTGTCGGAGAATCAAATCACCGAGGTGCAAAAGCTCGCCTTTAAGGATCTCTATCTGTCCACCATCAACATGGCGAAAAACCAAATCAGCACCATCGAGAGTGGGGCGTTTGAGAACTGCGCCAATGTGACCAAGTTGGACTTGTCCGAAAACCAGCTGCGGGACATTCCGAAGAGGGCGTTTGACGAAACCACCTACGCCACTGAGCTGCAGTTGGCCCACAATTTCTTCACCAGCATGGAACAGGTGAGTGCGCACTCACACATTAACATCACTCACACATGGAAACTATGAATGTTCAGATTCCGCTGCACAACATGACAGGGCTGAAGATCTTGAACGTGTCCCACAATCAGATCGAAACCGTGCCCAAGAAAACATTCCCAAAACTATATGAGTTGCACACGATCGATCTGTCCTACAACAATCTATCTGGTGAGGATTCACTGGACTAAAATGCGACTTTTCCTCCAACCCTGCCAATCTTTTCCAGACATATTTAATTCGGTTTTCACCACGCTGTTCTCCCTGAGGACGCTCGATCTCAGCCATAATTCTTTAGAGGCCATTAAGCCGAGCACTTTCGGTCCGCTGCCGACTCTTCTTAGGCTGGATATGAGTTTCAACAGGTTGGAAACTATCGCCAAGAGCGCCCTCACCAGGTACAACCACATTCCAACGAATTGGCATCGGGAGGAGATTTGCAGGGCGTTGACCAAGCGATAAATGTTTAATCCTAGATTGGCCAGCACGCGGGAACTGATTGTGAGCCACAACAAGTTGAGCGCGTTGTTCATCTTGCCGATTTCCACTTCTCATCTGGACCTGTCCCATAACGAGTTCGAAACGATCCCCCCCAAGCTGTGGCCCTCCATGAATTCCCTTCTCAGTTTGGACTTGAGTTTTAACCGGCTGGGCGATAGCCTGGAGCACGGCAGTTTTACGAACTTGCTGACACTGCAAAAGTAAGTTTCGGATTTCAATTCGGGATGATCTTATAAGCGACGTGGGTTTTTCGGCTGATTTCATCAAATTACCGCAATTGCAAGAGTACAACGTTAGTACTTTTCCATACAAGGGCGAAAAACGGCCTGGGTAACACTGTGTTGAGTTGCGCTATTGAGTTGATGAGTTTTAACAATGCGCCAGCCCAACGCACCGGCGCACCAACCCATTTGCGCAGTACTGCGCTAACTTATACACATTCACTGAGTTACCTTTTCGGTTACCAAAACGGGAAAAACCGGAAGTTTTGAATACACTTTTAAAAGTTTCAGAGCGATGAGGCTGACGAGTTTTCCAAATAGTTGATAATATTATTTTGCTTTTTCTGTTCATTTTTCGGGAAAACTTTAATTCTCACCAGAAATTTGTCTCGATTTTGTCCCAAATTCAAAAGAAAAGCGGGTATTCTAAAAAGACGATAAAGAAGACCAAACTATAAAGACGACGAGTTTTCCTGTAAAATCGATCTCTTAATTTTTTTGGATAAAAGACTCACTTTGCCAGTAGTTTACAGTAAAACGTTAGGCAAAAACGCATTTTTCTGTTTAGAGACATTTTTGTTTAGAAATATTAACGTAAAAGTGAAGAAATCGGAATTAAAAAAAAAATAATTTTACCAAAAACCAAACAAATTATTCACAGCGACGAAGGTGACCAGTTTTCCAAATAATTGATTATAAACTTTCACTTGTTCTGTTCGGGGAAACACTTCTGGTAAAAAATGTAGCGTTTTGTTCGAAATTCGAAGCTGCAAAAGTTCGAGAAAAACTTTCAAAAATTATTGGGGTTTTGTGTCAAATTTGAAGCTGAAAATAGTTTTCTAAAATTTCCTGCAAACCGAATTTTGTCATTTTTGACTGAAAAGACCTCATGATTGTCAGGAAAGAAGAGAAAACCTTGATGATTTTTGATTGAATTTATTTTTATTATGTCGAATTCGACACTGAAAAAAGCTTTTGTAAAATTTCCAAAAAGCTGTAAATGTAATTTTTCGCGTCAAAGACTTCCAGATTGTCAGTATTTTCATGTAAAACTTTTCAATAGAGCGTTTTTGAGTACAAAGTAAAGGAAGAAAAACGGTTCGGTCAAAACTAAAAACCGCAGTTTTTAACAAACTCTACAGTCTTCAGAGGGATGGGGGTGACGATTTTCCAAATAATTGATTTGGATAAACTTTCGCTTATACTGTTCGGGAAAATATTTCTCGTAAAAAATCCAGAAGAAAGATTAGCGTTTTGTTCGAAATTCGAAGCTGTAAAAGTTCCAGAAAAACTTTTACACATTTTCGTAAAATTTATTTTACAGTTTTCACAGAAAGCACCTGAAGATTGTCAGTATTTTTAAGTAAAAATAGAAAAAAATGCGTTTTTTGCGTTGAAACAATTGCTTAATATAAGCTTTGCTAAAACTGGAAAGACCTGAAATTTTGAAGAAACTTTAAAATCTTCAGAGCGACGAGGGCGGCGGGATTTCCAAATATTTTTTTGTAAACTTTTGCTCTATGGTTGTTTTTTGAAAATAATCGTAGGTAATTACTATCGGTTAAAAACTAAATAATTTTTTTTGGTTTTTGTGCCAAATTTGAAGCCGAAAAAGGTTTCCTAAAATTCCCTGCAAAGCGATGAATGAAGCGAATTTTCTAGCAAAATTAATTTTGTCATTTTTGCCTGAAAAGACGCAATAATAGTCAGGAAAGCAGAAAAGAATCAGAAAATAATGTTTTTTTGCGCTTTCGATTATAAACTTTTAGTTATAATCGGTTTTTGAGAAAACGTTAATGAATTTCGGGAACAAACGGGAGAAATTTATTTGCGTTTTTGTCCCGAATTCGACACTGAAAAAAGTTTTTTTGAAATTCCTCCAAAGCTATAAATTTATCTTGTAATTTTTCGCGTAAAAGTCTTCCAGATTGTCAGTATTTTTGAGTGAAACTCTTCAAAAATAGAGCGTTTTCGAGTAAAAAGTAAGGCAAGAAAAAAATCAGTTAAAACTAGAAACCACAGTTTTCTAACAAACTCTACTGTCTTCAGAGGGATGGGGGTGACGAGTTTTCCAAATGATTTATTATAATTTTCCAATTATTCTATTCGTTTTTTGCTAAAAAGGTATTTGATTTTGTGCCAAATTCAAGGCTGGAAACGGATTTTAAAACTTTTTACAAAGCGAAGAAGGAGACGAGTGTTCTAATAAAATTTGTTTTATAATTTTTCGCAGAAAATACCTTAAGATAGTCAGTATTTTTAAGTGAAACTTTACAAAATTGAGCGCTTAGAAGAAAGAGTAAAGTTGAAGCTCAAACTGGAAAATTCTGAAAAAACTTTAAAAATATTATTCTTGTCGAAAAACAACTAAAAGGTCATCAACTGGAATCCAGCAACCGAACCGAGTTACTGCGCCGGTGCGTTGGGTTGGCGCACTGCGCCAACTCCTAAAAATTCACCGAGTAACCCAGGCCTAACTCTGCGTAAAACTGCAACAAATTAATACTAAAGAAAAGTGCTTCTTTATGATCATCACGTGATCAGAAAACGGCAGTTTTTCATTCACGCGAATCAAAAAGTACGCTTTTTAAGAACATTCCCACTAACACAAAACTTGCGTTTGAAGTTAGCGGTCGATGTTGGAAAACTTTCCGCCTTGTTCGCCCTGCACTATGATCCACTTTATTAACTGTCAAAACTTTCAGATTGAATTTGAGTTACAACGGCTTGACTCGACCTCCGTGGACGTCGATAAGCGAACTGACTGCGCTGCAATATTTGTACGTGCAGGTAAGGCGGCTGCATTTTTTCACCGGAAAATGGCAAAAATCCAGCGGGTTTTTTTCGTGTTGCAGGGCAACAACTTGACGACACTGCGCCGGAACGCATTCGGCAAAGTTCCGGTGATGTTCGAGCTCGACCTCTCCAACAACGCCATCAACAACGTGAGCACAAGAGCCTTCGAGGGCCTGCTTCAGCTCATCCATCTCAAAATGAACAACAACAATATTAGCGTCATTCCTAACGGAGCGTTCCAGGGTAAGTGCACGTCGAGTCTCTCTTCTCGTTGTCTCTGCTGCCAGAGGCTCTAAAGCTCTAAAGCTGTAAAGGGCAGCTTGCAGGATTCTGTGATTGCGTTTTCTATAGCGATTCAAACGTTGCATATTCTGTGTAATTCCGCGCTCCTGAGCCGGATTTATTTGCTCAACTGTTCAAGCGGCTTGAGAGTATGAGCAGCAAAGGGAATCGGTACTGAAGCGAATTACTATGGCATTTTGCAGTCAGTTTCAATAATTAGGCGCCTGCAATTAATGCATTGCTAGCGCAGGTCAATGAAGCAGCTGCCAACCGAATAATTCTGAATATTGTTCGGTTCAAGGGCCGGGTGCGAATTATCCGGGATTTATAAGTCGGCAAAACCCAATTATTATTAATTAATTTTCTGTGTACTGGACTATTTATATTAGCAAGTCGGAATACGCACGATCCTTTGTTTAATATTTAATTATTATCTTCCTGCTGTATACCACTGTAATCCGACAAGTGCTTTTAGCGCAATTTGAATAATGCAGAAGTCCTGTTCCCGGCACGAATTAGCCGAATGACTAAATGGAATTAGACATACAGGATTTGAGGGTGTTAAGCGATAACGCGTTTTCCTTGCTTTGGGCTCGAATTCCGATTTTCTGTCCACTTTTTTATTCCAATATGTAAATGTTAATGCAGTGTTTCTGCTTTTTGCAGGTTTAGTGTCTCTCACCGATTTGGACTTGTCGCAAAACAGGCTGGTAAAACTGGACAACAAAACAAACGGCATTTTCGACGATTGTCTGTCTCTAGAACGGGTAAGTAGTG